ATCATATCCCAGTTTCAAAATAGCAGTTAATGCTGGTATATAAATGAATACATTTTTATTGAGACTAAGTTCAAGAACATATTATGCATTCTTGTCAGTGTACTCAGTTGAGGTTGTGGTCTCTTCTAATAGGGATTTATTTCCAAAACACCTGGATGTCTAATAGCATCTGAGCACTTGGGTTTTGAAAAATGGAGAACTGAGAAAAAGTGATATATTCAGAATAATCAGAAAATATTTCAAGACAGCTTATATTTTGAACCTCAAATATATCTGAAAACAAATTGACAGGTCTAGAACTTGAGACTGATTTTAAAGTGGGGGAAAAGAGTATTTTGAAAAATGATTATGAAAAACCATTATGCTGGAATAAGAAGCTTCCACAATCCATGACTTTGGTCACCACCTCTAGTAACATTAAGTAAAGCAGAAATATTGGGGAGCATGAGAGAGCATATGGTAAAGACTTACCTTCTTTGTCTCCCTGTTTATTTCTATGCTTATTTCAATGTTCTGAAAAAGCAACTATTTATTGCAAATCCTGAAAAAATAAAACTTTTTTTTTTTTCAATCTTTGCATTTTCACTTGATTACAAACTCCTATTGAAGATGTTCATACAAATAGAGCATCTGCTGGGTGTCCTGTCCAGATGGAATCTCCAGTAAAGCTAAAAAGCTCATGTTCACTTTCTTGGTTCTTCTTTCCACAGTCAGAGCATTTGTTTGTTACTTCTCCTTTATCCAGTGATTATTTTTATGAAGCTTGTTGGTCTAACATTATGTCTGAGACTTCTGTTCCTCTGTAAGTTTGGCTGAAACTTGAAGTCCCTGGGGAGACAGACAGCTACAGCAACAGACAGTCTGTCTGCACAAGCCTCATTTCCTTGAGACACCATGTTAGAAAGAAAACAGCTGAGATGGGATTACAGTGCCCAGTCCCTGAAAAAGGAAAAGTGGGAGCTACTGTACATTGACTCTGCCATTAGTGCCTTTAAGAGTGGGGGACTGCAGTCAGCTTTGCTAATGGTTGTGTACATGTGGTATAATTGATTTCAGCAGTTACTTTCACTTAATAGCTGCTATAGCCTCATTTATGGCTGACCTAATTGGTAAGAGACTGAACAGGATCATGTTGGTAGGCATTGCTGAAGTTAAAATTGGGTAATTCTCGAAAATGACACTTGAGAGTCTTCTGACCTGTTCAATTCAAAAAGCTTTAAATATGTAGGAGAGAAAGGACATCCCTCCATGTATTATTTATTCAGGTACGTTCATCCCCTTATCAGTTCCTTGAACTGTTCTTACTTTTTCCTCTCTTGGGCTACATTTTTTGTTAATAAGATTTTTTATTTCTACCAGAAACTGAAAATACAAAACCTGAGGCTAAGATCATAATGTCATCCAAATTATTTTTTTTTTTTTTTTTTTTTTTTTGCCCAGGACATAATCATCTCTATAATTCTTGTCAGTAAGTAACCAGAAGGAAGAGATTTTTAAAGCAGATGTCAGAATGTCAGATCTATCTTCAGCTGATTTTCTGTAAGTTTATTATAGTATGAACTACTGTGTTCAAGGATATAGAAAAAAGGCCCAAAGTTTTATTTGCATTAGTAAATAAAATATTTCAAATGGGAAGCCTACACTCCAAGTGGTGAAAATAAAAATTCCATTCTAACCTTTGGAAGGAATTCTGCTCTTTTGCCACAAGAACCAATCAGTCTTTATCAGACAAAGCCTTTATTATTTGATAACTCCCTGTGCCCTCAAAAATGACTATGCTTATTTTCCATCAGCCATCTGACTGCTAGAAGCTTGAAAAACAACACATGGTGGGGTAAAATATCAGCCATGCTTTAACCAACTGTGTCTGCTTTTCTCTTCTGGTAAGTTCCTGGAATTTTTTTTGGCTACAAAGAACATTTGCTTTTAATGAACACAAATAAGTCAATAAAATTTATATGTATGTTATTATGAGGTTTCCTCCCCTTTCTGTGTAAATATGATTAGCATTTTGAACTCCAGATACCTTCTTTGGAGTTTGAATATAGGTCCCTGTTTTTTGGCATCAGTACAATAATAATGATTATACGCATTGGAAGAAGCTGCAAGGAGGTAACAATTTGTGAACTTTCTGTGGTTATTCTTGGCCTCACATAAATCCATTAATACATTTCTTTCTGCATTTCCTAGAACCGATTTCTGTATTCATGCTTGTGTCCAGTAGGATCTTGCAAATGTCAGTGTGAGTGGACACAATGGTAAGATTAAGACCCAAGTTAGAATCTGAGTCCCTTTTAAGTACTAGCTCCTTTTTGGCATGTTTTGAGAGTCAGAGGTTTTTTTATATTAGAACAACTTTGTTTTCTTCATCTTGGGCCATTGCTGCCTATTTCAACTTGAACAGTCTGTACCCACGCAGCTTCTTTTATTTTTTGTTTTTTATGGGTGTTCTGATGTGACACATAGCTTGCACCCAGCCAAACATCAAAGCATGTTCTCAGACAGTATGCATGAATAGTTTTACTGAGATATCAGGTCATCTATGACCTGATAGCTCTTCATTCCTGTTTTTAATTAGTGCCCTCAGTAGCTGCAGGATTATTTAATCTTTGTATTACCACAGATCTTTTGGCTGGGAAACTGGAAAGATGTAGCCAGTACTCATCCTATTTTCCAACCTTGCCTATTCACCTGTGGTGGTGAGATCCAGCAGTCCTTTGCTTCTCTCACATTTTTCTGAGCCCTGCCATAACTGCGGAGAAATAGTTTGGTTGTTTTTGAAGGAAATAAAAGTTCATATGTTAGACAAAAAAAAGTTCAGTATATTTGGCAAAACTCATGTAACAGCTAATATCACCTGAGCCAAGCCACTGCTTTTGAGACATGCCATTTCCATTCAGAGCTTTTATTTAGATGAAGACATAACAAAATTTTATTTTAGCCAGACTTGATTTTAGGTTTAATTTGGACTGACAGTACATTGCTAATAGACACGTGAAGTTAGAGAGCAGGTATGTTGTCATGTAAGTTTATGCTCTAGTTTGTTTATTTGTAATATCAATTTTTAAGAGATGACCAAGGGATTAATTTTGCCTTTGGTGGTAACACCTTTTTTTGTTGAAATAACTGAGTAATTCCCATTGTAGGTTTCAGGTTTTGATTGCTTCTAACCTTGTAAATATTTCACAATTGGAGCAAAAATATCCCATACTGTCTGTTTGCCTCAGTTTGTGCTCGATTAGGAAGTGTCAGGCATTCAGACATTTCTGAAATGCTCTGAAATATGTCTAGGGAAAAATGTCAAAATGAACAACCAGTGTTTCATGTGTTAACATTCATGATGCATTTTTCCCTAGCATCTCATTTTGCAGGAATTTGTGAGGAAGTAGTCAATTTGTAAATCTTTGAATAATTATGTTTTGCATATTAATACACAACATACCTTTAAAGATTCTGCCTGGCACTGGAAATGCACTAGGCTAGGATGGAGAAAGGCAAAAAAACTGTTCTTTGGTCTTGAGCCTGACATCTTAACTGGGAGTCCATATCTCTCTTTTTTTTTTTTATTATTTTTTAATGATCACTTCTGGGGACAGAACAGCTGGGAAAAGGGAGATCTTTCTCTGACAGTAGGGAAGAGGAGTGCTTAGAGGTGGGTGTGAGAGAAAAATGGTAATGGAAAAGAATAGTAGGCAATAGGTTAACTGCACAGGGAAAACTATGAACTCTAAACTCTACTAAAACCCAAGTTTTATCAAAAGATCAGGTAATCATAGAAGAGTTTTAGATGGGAAGGAACTGCTGGAGATCATCTGGTCCAACCTCCCTGCTAAAAGTGAATCCACCTGTGAAGTCAGATCAGGTTTCTCAGGGTCTTGCCTAGTTCCAGCCTCTCTGAGCAACCCTTACCCATGTCCCACTTCAGCTTGTCTGAGTTGAGAAAACTTTGAGCCTTTCGCAGGCAAATATAACTGACAAGCTGTCTCCTGAGTGGAAAACCTCTGAATCACTCAACACTGCCTAGTAACATTGGGTAAAATTGTTGATTTCAGTGTAAATATTGGCATTGGATGTCAGGTTTTTTGTGAGCTTTCTGACAGTGATTTTCTGTGAGACTTGTATAAAATGAGATGTACAGGTGTCCTGCAGCACCTGTCTGGAGTTACAGAGATCTCTGCTGTATTTCCCTCATTTTTGCTGCATCCAAAAATGTACTTTTCCCTCTGTCTTCTGTCATTTTCCCCAGTTTACCTGTTTCTAATCTAATGGGAAAGAGATCTTACCAGAAACTAAGCTTTCATTCAGCTAAGCCTGTCTCTGCATGAGCTGCCACCTGGTCCTAATGGACATCCTGCTCAGCCTGAAGGTTTAACTTGGCAGAACTCAAGTTTCTCAGGGAAATAAACTTTGCAATTTATCCTGACATCCACCCCAGCACATCATGTAATACAGTTAGTTAGGTAAGATTTTTAAGAGCATTGCAAAAAGGAAAGAAAAAAAAAAGGGAAAAAGCAAGTTTTGTCCCTATCCCTGTTATACAAAGTAATTAACAATGTTTGAAAATCTAGAACAATATTTTGATTAACAGTAATGGCTTGTTTAAAACTTGTATGTCTAAGCTTTCTAGATTAAAAAAAAAGTGCGTATGTCTTGCATCCAAAAATAATTTCAGTTTACAAGTATGGACAATATTTATGTCAGCATCAGATTTGGTCATGGCAGTATAGCATCTGGCATGTGGGATTGGCAGTACAGTCAGCTGCTGTATGGAATAGCAGCTTTGGTTTTTATTTGTGATTTTTGCCTATTTTCCCATTCATCTACAAATAGAGAAAAAGAAGTCAGAGAAAAATCCTGCTGTTAGGCTTCTCTTTGAAAGTGTAAGGTGGTGAATACTTTATGTGGATTTCATTAAAACAGAATCTTTCTGCAGGTTTTCCAAGGCAATAAAGGATATTCAATCATTCTGCTTGTGTATCAGTGTTCCATGAGAACAAAGTTTTACTCTACTGTTCAGTTTTAATAACATTTTCTCAGATGAACTGACCTTTTGTTATTAAGTTACTTAAATATAGTTCCTATTGCAGCTGAGTAAGGAAACCTTCCCTGGGAAAAAACCTGCAAATTGCCTGCTCTGTTTGGCCAGACAGCTGGTGAATGCTGCTCAGCACAGCACAGCACAGCTGGGAGCCAGCCCCACCGCTGGGCTTGGAGGGTGTGAATAGCGAGGGGCTGTGCGGGAGGGAGATGGGTGACACTGTGGCAAACAAAAGAACTTCATCACAGGCAGAGAAGCTGGAACCACCATGACAAGGGGAAATGCAGCATTGCAAGATCCATAAGATTAAAACCTCCTTAATTCCTTTGTTGGAAGAACTTGATACTTTTTAAGTTAAAAGTTATATATCAAATTTAAGGCACGGTGGTGGTTTGTAGGAAGCTATCCATTATGGTTAAACACAGGCTCATGTTCTTCTGAACCCTGAAATCGGATCAGAAACTTTGCTGGAATTCTGTGGATGCACAGTTATGTTTTTGGTGAGTTTGTATTTGACCTGGGACCAGTACACTCATTCCAAGCTGATTAGTATGCGGTGTGCTCCAATTGTTTCTTTCATATACACTTAATTCACAAGGACATTTATATGCTGCATCAGTACTTAAAACCTAAACACCCCTTTCTGTCAGTAGTATAAAAACATGTATGACTGAGTGACTGATAGATAATTTCTGGTGGTGAAATAATAGTTATTAAATAGCATCAGATTGTATATTTTCATTTTTGAAGTCCTTTTCTTAAAGATCTGATAGTTCTCCAGCCAACCTTCAGAAGACCTATGCAAAGCCAGGGAAGTCCCTTTGGAGACCTGCAAGGTTCAAGTCCGGCAGAAGGATCTACCCTCCCCGTGGCAACAAGTAATTTTTCAAGGTAAAGGCACTCTCAGGGACAGCTACTCCTGGAGAAGAGAAAAAGGGTGTAGAAAGATAAGGTGAAAAACTTGAGCACCTTTCACTGGAGAAATGGCCTCAACTTTTCACAGTCCAGTCATAAAGAAAGTACTGCAAGGAAATTGCTTTTGTGACAAACTTGCTTGTGGGCATTTACAGGACAAAGTGCTTTGTATGGTGATTTGTGCCAGACACCTTGGGACCATTCAGTGTAGTTTTGGATCTCTTCCAGCATTTTGAGATGAAAGGATGAGGAAAGAATTGATCTTTCAATTTTTCTTAAATGTGGTTGGATTTGCATTACCCTGTATGTGTTCCTTTTGAGTATTAGTTGAAGAGCAGTATCATAGTGATGTTGCTCGGATAATTTATGAACGTTTATGCACAGATTTGCAAAGTATTTGTGATGGTGGGTCTTATGACTATTTTAATTCCACAAATTTAATGTCTCAGGAACAGAAATGGATAATGACAGACATTCTAAATAACATCAATTAAATGGAAAAAAAAGGGATGTATATGTGTTTATTGCCTTTTCCTATGCCATTTTCCACAGAGATTTGTCTAACAGTTGCTTCTATTTTGATGTGGGAGCTATAAATTCTGAAGGGGTTTTAGAACCATGAACATATGATTTCTTCATGGAAAGAGTAGCCAGCTCTTTCCTTGAAGGTTAGTAAAGTGATCTAATTATATTTACATCTATTAAGAAGTGGAGACTTTAATAAATGGAGCCTGATTATGGAAAAACCCTAATACCATCTCCTTCCTGAGTAGGTTTTGCTGTAGTGTCTCTGTTCTGGAGTGAAATGAGTATTTAACTAAATTAAATGGGCTTTGCACTGAAATGAAAACAACAGGCCTACTCTTTAATTCAAGGTAAACACTATTTCTGAAAGACTTGATTTCCTTTTAAATATCTACTAACCAAATGTTAATTTCCCAAATTTAAGACTAATATTTGTTACCAGCAAAATTATCATCAATCAGTACTAAATTTCCAAGAACACAGATGGGCACATAATGCCTGATGAAGTATGGTGATGTAAATGAAAATAATTTTACTTAAGAGGGGCAGAACCAGGCACAGGATTATTTCTGTGACTCTCAATTCTTAACTATTTCTTTACTCCATACACTTCAAGGAAAAAAGGGGCTGCAATGCCTTTTTCTGCTGTCTATGCCAGTAGGCAGAGAGATCCACATGGGTACCCTGCCAGTTACAATTATTTTTAAAGTGTGTTCTCCAGCAATGTATTCAGACACAATTTATCAATAGTAAAAAATGGGGTCCCCACCATTTTCCATGACAGTTTGTTTCAATATTTACTCATCCTACCTATAGCAACCACTGCTTTTTTCACCTTGATTTGGTATAGTTTCTTTTTGAGTCTTTGGCTTCAGTTGTATCTTTGACAAGGACTTTTGTCAAGGTCATGCTAAATTCTTCGTAGCTGGGCAGGTCTTCATGTACCATGCCTCTCTGTAAAATGCATGTGCCAAAGTCCATCACTATGCTTTTCTGCTGCATCATGCCAACACATCACTCAGTAAGCCATCTCTGCCTAGGAAATTTGGCTTCAAGGCTAAGTATGTTTGAGTAGGAACAAAAAAGTTATTCTGCATGTAATAAACAAAAAAGTTATTTTATGATTAAGTCAAAATCGATCTAGCTTTGCTTAAGAATAATAAACATTCGTTAGACAAAGTCTGAAAAATAGCAGAACATGCAATTGCAAGAAATTATTTGATTGTGAAATTATGTGTTTATCCTGGATATGTCTAACATGCATATAATTTGATTCAAGCTTAGCTCAAGCCAGAATTAGAACAGAAAATTGCTTACTTTTAGGAGGAAGTGTAATCCAGGGCTTTACTGCTTACATTATTTGTGTAATTAGAAAAAGGCTATGTTTGAAGTCACTAATCTAATCTCCAACAAACTTTTGGTTGTTGGAGATTTTGATAACCTACTGACACTGGAATCACAAAGATTGTAGGGCACATTTTAACTAATCTGTAACTAAAGGAATAGTGGATTTGTCTTTTTATAGTGTTTTAGTCATAACACTGCAACTGGAAATGAAACCACAGTTTCTTAACTATTTTACATGTTTGAAAATTTGATTTTATTATTCAAAGATAATGTATAGATCTCATCTAATATTTACACAACAGCAGTTCAATATTTGGATCCTCAGAGAAAAGTCTACTTGTTTCATTTTCAGATCTGGTCTAGTGATGAGTTCTGTTATTACCATACACACTTCAGCCTTTGTCTGCCCTCTGCCTGTTAATAAAATTTAATCTAAGTGACATAATTCACTGATCATAAATAATTATTTAAACTAATCATAAAAAACCCTTAAATTGTCTATTTAAAAAATGTTTTTCACATATTTACATTTCAATTAGGTTCTGTATAATGGCATTCCCAGTATAACTCATTTGAATCATAACTTTCAAGTAAATTTGACCTTTACAGCTGGAGATTCATCTTGACTTACAAAAGATAAAATCTCTTTTAGGTGAACAACTCCTACAGTGTTACAATCTCTTGTAACTGTTTTTAAAGTGTTTTCAAAATGGAAAAATGTAAACAATATATTTATTAATTACTTAGTAATTAGTGTATTGGAAGTTGTGGCAAGCTGCATTTTATTGGAAATTAAGACCCACTTAGACAAAAACCCAGATTCCTTTTATTGAATTAGAAACCCTGTTTCACTTTCTTAATAAAAGCAATACAAATATCAGGTGCTTATATTACTGTTTTGCATGGAAGAAATTCTGACAGTACTTAATAGTTGAACTGAATTAGGAGACCAGGTCTTTCAAAGATTTAGACTTAATAGATCCACTCCATCTCATTTTTCTTTGTGAGCTGAAAGAAGATGACAAGATTTATTACTTTCTTGACTTTTCATTTGTCAACCAAATAATCTGATTCATGGGCAAACAGACAATGTCCTGAAAAAAAAAAATGAGGATTAAATTTAGAAATAATTTTAATCACTTTCTGTTTGAGACAATTAGCCAATCTATTCCATCTTTCTTTGAAATTTCTACAAACTTGTACTACTTCAATGACTACCATTTGTTATGGTAGGTATGACTGATAGCTAGTTGTTAGGGGCATAGCACTGTTTTCGTCTTCTGGTTTTAGGCATTTAATTTAGTACTGCGTATCTGGAATAATGGCATGCACTTCCTTGACCTACCTCTTTGAAAACTGCTATACAACTCTATACAACTTCAAAATTTTGCAGTTTCTTTTGTGTAGGAGGTTTTTTTTTTTTTTGAGTTTTTTTTTTCCGTATCTCAGCAGTGTTCTCAGCAGGTTGAATTAATCTACCACCTGAAATTTGACTGTAAATAATATATATTACATTGATAGAGAATTACTAGCAAGTATCTTCCAAGTAACAATTAATAATCTTTCCCATATACTTATTGTTAACACAGAGATTTGTGACTACTATTAAATTTCAATTAGTGCTATATTTTACAGTGAGAACTGAGAGGAAAGCCATGAATGTGCTTCAGGAAAAGAATAAACAGGATTCAATTAATTCTCCTATGTCAACACTGTTTCCTCATCATTGCTTTCAAAAGCTTATTATTATTAAGCAATATTTGTGGTCTGTTGAGGATCAGTTGTGTCTTAGGTATGCACAAAATAATGTATTAAAGGCAGATAGCTGGGTGAACCATGTGTTCTGAAAAAAACACAAAAAACCAAAACTCCAAGACAAACAAAAAAACCCTGCCAATAGCAAGAACCCAAACAAAAATCCCAACAAAGATAAAAAAACACAAAAACCCCCAAAACTTTCTTCCTGTGTTGGTTCTATACTAAGCTAAAATACTGCGGGGAAGGAGGCTTCATTATAGCTTCTCTCTTATTTCCAAAAGAGGTGAAAGTTGCAAGGGGAGAATGAGAAACACCTTAAGGTAGAGAATCTATCACCAACTTGCCCATTAGTTGCTTTTACAGAGATGAAACAGCATCTAAAAGCATCTAAAGCATTCCCTCCTTCCTCAGTTCTCCTGCTGTACATCTCTGCTTCTTCCCCACAGCTGGATCTAGTGCTTGTCCTTTGGAAGCTGGATCAGCTTCCCAAACCATTAGCAGACTAACCCAGATGAATAAAAGTCTGCTGCTTCCAAAGGCCGCTGTGTAAGTGAGCTAAACTGAATTTCTGGGGACTTAGAAAAGGATGCGATCCCCCCGCAAAATAAGATAGAGAGGTGAGGTACAAAGTAAAATTAAGCCGTGAGATTGGCTTGAATTTCAGAAAAATTCATTCTCTGAGTTTTGAAGTGGAACCTGAAGCAATGGATACATGCTCTAAAATGTGGACCTGTGCCTCATCAGCACCTGCTGATGGAGAAAGTAGTTAGAGGGAAACTCATCCATACGTGATGGAGAATATTTGTTACTTGTTCTCAGTCCTATCCCTTCTAGCTTATGCAGACAACCTCAGCCCAGAAGTAAAGCTAAAACATATTAGGAACCAGTCTGCAGCATTATGTGGCCACATGTCTCTGAACATGTGAGTATTTGGTAAAGTGAATTCAAACCCAAATATCTACAGCTCTAAAACTCAGAGACAGATATGTTGTGTTGTTCTTGGCTGAATCAGGAGAAACACCATAAAAGACTTCTTTTTCACTAAGTACATGTTCAACTATATGTAAATGGTACAAGGCAAGGATATAATCATCAGAGCTCTTGAAAATAGGATTGCACAAGGGAATACTTCAAAGGTAGTGCAAGAAAATCCAACTGCATATGTACACAGCTTGACTTTTTGCCACCACAGCATCTGCAGCATCTCTGTAAATAATTTCCTGAGTAGAGACCTTGGCAATCTTTTGTTTTATTTAAATAGAGACCTTGGCATTCTTTTGTGTTATTTAGTATTCAGTATACAGTTCATGAACCACTGGGGAGAATGAATTTGTTGCTGCATCAGAGATGCTTGACTGAACATAAAGTAGGACTCTACGGCTCAGCATGTTTGTCATTGATAATTATCAGCGCTACTTTGGCAATTCCACTGAATTTGTGATAGAAGTGCTATTTGCAACTGGGAACTAATAGATTACCTACCAGAGAAATTAGCAGCTGCTACTTGCCCAAAGCTATTTGCTGATTGTATCATGAATTGCAGTAGCTCTGTGTGAAGACAATGAAAAGTATTAAAAAGTTTCCATTAACTCTGAAAAAATATTTACATTTGTTTCCTTCCAGAGAAGAAAGCTTCTGCAAAGTAATCTATAAGGGTTCCTTTAACCATATATTGGAAGTTGTCCATTATACAGGGATTATGGCAGGATGTCTTATGCCCTGGTCTCTCTGTCGTTTGCACACCCTGTAGGGGGGACCCTCCACCTCAGCTGGGGCAATCCCAGAAACAGGCTGTGAGGAGAAGGGATTGAAAGCAGCCCTAGGGAGAAGGCCTTGTTAGTGTTTGTGGACAGGAAGTTCAATGTGACCCGATAATGTGCCCAGAAAGCCAAATGTTTTCACAGTCTACATCAACGTGGATGCTGCATTACAAGGCAAGATTTTAGTTCTAAAGAGTAAAATTCACCATGTCTGCCTGACATTAGGCAATGTCTATCATGTATTAAAAAAATTGGTATGTATATAATAAATATTCAGGCTTCCTTGTCTAGTGTAGACAGAATCAAATAGATCTTTTTCTTAATTCTATTAATAGCAATGGAAGACTTCAGTAAGCTGAAAGTAAAAATATCATACATTTCAACACTGCTCATCTTACTATGTTTTAGACTACTTGCATTGCATTCATACTGTCTTAGCTTCTAATAAAGATGCTGTAATCATTGGTTTTGATCAAGAGGACATTATTTTTCCTTGACACTTGCCCTACAGGTCTCTAAAGCATATTTCTATTTGTTTAGGAAAAAGCCAGGAGGAATGAATCAGGTGGAAAAATAGATTATAATTTCATCTCACAGATGATTGACAAGAAACCTTTATACATTAGAAAGCTTTAAAATTGTCAGAGAGACAGACCTCTGTTAACAGGGCAACAGTAGCTATCAAATTCTTTAGGGTTATGGGGTCTTTTGCCTTCTTGTTGTCCGGAATTATGACATAGCTTGGTCATGGAGGCTTATAGTCTGAAATCACTTTAAACTGTATTTCAAGAGCCTGGCTTTATCCTAGACTGGGCCATGTCTTTTTATCTCTTTCTGGGAATTATCCAAAAGAATTGTACATAGTGTCTGTGATGAGCTTAGGGGTTGGAAATCTCATTAGCCATTGTGCTGTAGGTAGTAACTTAGAAGCAAGTGGTTTACTGTGGGGATCTTGGGTATTTGTACTTGGGAAAGACTGAATGTAGTTTTGGGTCCTTCACACCAAATTTTAAAAATATCTGACATAGTGGAACTTATAAAATAATTTTTATAAGTTAAAGTACTTTAAAGGTACTTTACCTTGCCATTGGATCAATTAATAACACACACATATTCTTTTAAGAATCACTGGTAAGTTGACCAGCAGGGGCAGGTGAAGCGCCTTAATGTAATCACATATACATACTCTTAATCACCTTTAAAATAGTTTACGTCTGTCTGAGAGTACAGCAGAAATGTAATTGTCAGGCCATGTCTAGGCCTTTTACCAGAACTGTAAGATATAATCTTCCACCCAGATAATATTCTGCAAGACTGTTTTTAATAATGGATCCTGTTTGAAAATGTAACAGACTAAAACATGCTTCTCTGGATCAAAAGCTAATCAAACTCCCTTCTGCTAATGAGAGACAAGATCAAAACTGTGGAAAACATATTGTGGACAGTCATCAATTAATTGAAAAAATATGTCTGCTTTGGGATTTGAGCCAGACGCGCTGTGAATGGGGCTGTCAGGCACAAGTGGTGCTGAATAATGTGGGAGAGAAAAGGGAAGCTGTAATCATCCTAGTCTCTGGTATGACTTTTAGATGTTTTAGCACAACCAGTTGGCTAAAGATCTGTCTGGCCCTGGAAGAAGATATGTAATGGAGGTAGACTCATCCTTTCAGAAGTCAGGTAATAAGACAGGTTAGGCAATGTTTTGACCACATTTATTCACCTCGAGGGGTACTGTGATACTGTAAAAAGAAATAGAAATCAATGCAACAGAAATCAGTTGAGATATCAAGTTTAGAAGCACTTTTCTTTCTATAATAAGAACCTGAAGTATTAGAAAACTTGGATCACAACAGTGTGTCACAAACCTGGCTGCCCACTAAAGAAACTAGGCCTCCTCTATGGTAATTAAAGCCCCTGGTAGACATAAATTTGACAGTACTGCTAATTACCCAACCTTGTTCACTGAAAGGGAGCTAGTTGCCTGTAAAATAGAATAAGTATAATAGAAATGACAAAGACTCAGAGTTCAAGAGAAAAATAATACGCTTTGGATTAGGAGCACAAGTGTCTTTATATAGTTTCTCCTTCTATTTATGCAGACCTGAAATTTGTTCAGCAAACAATTGTGGGGAGCAAAGAGCTAATGTGACTCATGAACACTGGCCCACCCACTGGCTTGATTTAGTTTTTCGTTCTGAGTACTTCCTTTTTCATTAGTTGCAGTGAACGTGAACCCTTATTGTGTGTTTTGATCTGCTGCTCCTCATCAAGCCCAAATGATAAGTCAGGCTGGAAGAATCAGGCTAGTCTTGCTTAGTAAAACATTATTTTCTGTAAAGCTTTCTGCCTGTTTTGTCTTTCACGAATAATGAAGTCTTCATGATATTCATACCAAGTAACATTTTTTTTCTGTTGGGTTTTTTTCCCATGTTTTTGGTTTGATGGTTTGTTTGTTTTCTTGTTGGTGAGGTTTTTTGTGTTTTGGGGATTTTTAAAATTAATGTAAACCATGAACAGGGAGAGCAAATAATTGGATTTTGGAGCAAATAAGGAATTCACTTGTGAAGCTCAAATTTCTACAAAGTGTTCTGTAAGCAGCTGATTGTGCCCATACACCCATCTGCATCTTTAAACATTTTTGTTTCATGTTCAGCAGAAACAGTACTGTTTATTTCCTAAAGGATAAGCAATTAGAAATGAATATAATTAATACATGTGGCTCTTTTTTCCGGTCTCTTATCAGAGTCCCAACAAGCCGTCCACATGCTTCAGTAGGTTTTATGAAACATTTGCAAATGACAAACAGATGGCCTTTTTAGGTTTCTGTATTAAACAGTGAAGATTAATATTGCCAGTCTTCATGCAGTATGTTCAGTCATATCTTGTCTGCCAGGAACTGGTTTCTGTCTGTAAATACTTATGGCCTGTTCTATAATTGAACAAATAGAGAAATATGCAAGCTTGAATAATATTTTTTAAACAAACTCTTAATATTCTTAAAAATATATCTGTAATAAATAAGATTTCTCATAAAGTAGCAAGAACCTGTCCATACTTACTGAATTTATGCATGTTCCCTTTTTTAAAAAAATTATTGTAAGAGTATGTTTGCATGATTTTTCTTTCTGTTTCTTATTGAGGAAGACAATGTTTGTTGTGAGAGCTTGTCAGCTTAGGGAAAGTAGCACATGACCATTTGGAAAGGGTATCAACTGACAGTGTAAGAATGACTTTCTATCCTTTCCCATGTAGAAGTGCTTTTATAAGAGGCAGATCTTTCACCTAAATGTCTTCCCAACAGATGAATAAAGCAAACCTACATTGTCCTTAGGCTGTAAATAGTGTGGACTTGGCTGTTTCTAGATTTTCAACACTTTGGAGCATTTGGCTAAGAAAATCAGTGGTAAGGTTTGGATTTATACCTAACTGCTACTCTGTCTTGACTTGCCAAAGTAAAAGGGCTCCAGATGATTCCCATTATGGAAGAGGAATTTCTAAAGAATAAATCTGTCTATGCAAGATGTTTTGTCTCTCTTATACAGTGACATTTCCTAATCCCTGTTATTCATTATTTATAAAACTAACTGGAAGTGTCATCTTTTTTCCAATTTCTGTGCAGCACTGTGCACACTTAACATAGATTAAATGACAATTATTTCATCTCTTCTGCAGCTCCAAGGAAAGACTTGCTGACTGAACTCTTTTGATACAGTCATTGAGACAATTTTTATCCACTTAATTTAATTTTTCTGTTTTACATGAAAACAGAAAAATAATTTTGATGTCTTATTACTTTGGAGATATTGTATCTCTACCATTCAGTGAACTTCTACCATGATCAGCTGTCCTTTTGGAGATCATAACGGTGTCTGAAAAGCTGCATCATACTGTGTTCTGCAGATCATTGCTTTTCTCTTTTATATATATTCTTGCTCATGCTGATCAGTGGCTTCATTGTCTGTGATGTTACAAACATCTTCATCTTTCAACCTCTCACAGTCACAAGCCTTCCTGGATCAGTATTTCGTCCTAGAGGCTTCAGGAATAAAAAGTTGGATTGGATAAATAAAGTTATCTGTGAAAACTGTATGTTGAGAAATGTCAGACTTTTTATTTGCTTTGTCATTTTTTTTTATAGGTTATTTTTCCTGAGGAGTTCATTAGTTGGCTTCGACTGGATAAAAAGAAGATTCTTCCATTTTTATTAGAACTCAAGATATGACAGCTGGGTCTCACCTCAAAGAAGAAAACTAAAATTAAAAAAAAAAAAAAAAAAAGACACAACATTCCTTAATGTGTACTACTATTTCTAACACTGTGGAAAATCTTGCTGCCTTGTACAGTTGTATTGTTCTGAAACGAAAGTGCAAGATCAGAAAGTCTGTTTTTTCAGACTGTGGAATAATTTATATTCTATGGTCCACATCCCCAAACACCAGTTATGGCATGATCTCCACTGACAGAACTGAGCCTATGGATGGCCAATGTTCCCATGCTGCCACTCCTCCTTGCAGTCATTTGATATCACAACTTCTGGATGCAGTTGGTGCTTAAGATACGAGAGGGAACCACAGTCTAAGTGGATGGGTAAAATCAGAATGGCCAAATACCTAGGAAAGGTTTAACTTGGCTTTGACAGATGTAAACTGCTTGACTTTTTATGCAGGGAGTTGCAGGTTGCAGAATGTTGGCTATTGATATTACAGGATTGCACAGCAGCTTTCTTTGGAAGTAACAGTGATTTTTTTTCAGAAGAGGGGAGATGAACCTCCTTGTTAAGGTGATGATAACAGTAAAGGGAGCCTAAGATATGAGGCTACTACACTGCTACTTTTTAGGCAGCTGAAATTAAATTTTTTCTGTCATGCTAAAAGTAAAATAATAAAAATAGAGACTAAAAGATATTCATTATCCTCATATTTTTCTTTTGAAACAGTACCTTATTTAATCTTATTGCTCTAAAATAAAAGAATGCAAAAAATATTTTTTTTCTTTAAAAATTATTCTTCTTATTAAGAATGGCTGTATTCTAAAACTGAATTAGCTTACATCAGTTTTCAGATCCTGTTAGAATCTGTCTGTTAAAGGGCTATGATTCAACAGACACATTTCTGTCACATGTATATATATCTGATGTTTTATAAACTTCCTCAATTTAAACTTCACAATCCTTATATCAGAGGCACCACACTCAGACTACGTTGGTATGCTCATGGGTCCTGTAGTTGTAACTTTCTGGAGTTTTTTTAAACAAAAGCCCTGGGGAGATCTTTTAAGCCTAAACTGTTTTTGTACTGTTTCCTAAAAAAATTAATCATTCTTCTACTAAAATAAATACAATATAAACACAGTTAAGGGCACAGCTCGGAAAACAACTTTGAATGGGAAACGGTAAAATAGTCTAATTTTACTGTGTTTAAAAGCAAACATTTTTGTGTAGCTTATTTTAATGGTTTTTGTATTTGTTTATTTTTGTAATTGGAAAGTAGTTCTTCCTAAAGGTGGATGGTTTCATTACGCTTCCTTGAATAGCATGAATAATTTGATTTCATGCAATATTTAGCAACATATGTTGCTAAAAATAATCACGATAAAGCTACAACTATTTATCTATATTTTGGAAGTGAGAAAGTTGTACATATAGATATGTACATGAAAAAGGGGTTTGCATAGTAATGAATAAAGTTAGTGTGCTTTAGGTTATTCACCATGAGTCTGATTCAATGTTCACTGTGATCTGTACATTTCCTTTAGTGAGATTTGAATTGTCCACTCATGTGAAATCCATTTAATTTTCCAACTTGATACTACATTAAGGCATCATCCACAGCATATAAATGCCTGTGATGATAAATAGGGAACAATGACTGATACTTAAAGAATAAAAATAAAATTTAAAAATACCCACACTCATTACACTACTATTTAAGAACAAAATAATTTGAGATAATATGTTGTTTTAATTTGTCAAGAAAAAGTAAAAAGAAAGAATTTTCACTAGCTTCTAATAGCCAAAGAAAACATTTTCTTAAGTTTATTTATTGGATTATCTTTTTATCTTTTAAAAATAATTCAATGACCTTTGTGTGTGTGACTTACATAAAATTTTATTATAGAGCTTCACCTTATCAGTAGTTGTTCTGATATTCCAGTTGTTTCTGGGCATTACCTGAGAATGCAGATAAATTGCCAATTTGCATTTAAGGAAGAGTGTAGTAAAGAGAGCATGAATTTCAAATCTATGTCATTTATCTGTGGAGGAAAACCAGCTCTCTTAAAGCATCAGATTTCTCAGTGTTCTCCAAAATTGTTCTAAATTTAAGAGTGATTTCTTTAGCAAAGGAAAGCAGCTTTGGCTGTTCTTTGGAAAATATTGTTCAAACAAATATACACCATGAAGCCTATCTAAAGGGTGGTGAGTGACCTCATACCTGAGACACTGACAGTTCCTGCCTTTACTTTCTGCCTAACTACTCCTTTTATCTCTTCTACATAATATGTCACATAATCTTGTTTATGTCCATAATCGGAAAAGTGCATAACATATTAATCTGTGAATTTACTGTGTGTGCAAAATTATTCAATGTGTATTAAAGAGCAATGCAACCAGCTTCATTTATTATTTTCATAAAGAAGTAAATCAGATTATGAAGTTGTATAGTCTAAAAGATAGCTTTTAAATAAGAAGAGAAATTTAATAAGGACAAATTAAAATAACAGTTTTCATACTGCTAGGTCTAATATTTCAATCAATATTAATGCTACTATTATAGTTATAATGCTGTTATTGTAGTTTCTCAGTTTAGTATCCTGATTTGAGGAAAATTAGTCTGATTCTTCTTTACATGGCCTGGTTATTCCTAAAATGTTGTGAAAATGCGATTTTGTGGGTTGGTAGAATGTGAAAAACAAGGATTATGGTGATTTCACAACTATTATTCAGTGCTGAAATTTTAATTGAAGAAGAGTCTGCATCACTTTTGTAAAGACATAAAATATATGGTAGAAAAATGCGCTTTGAAGTGCACATATAAGTCACTTGCAAGCAAAGCAGGCTCATTACAAAACCACCTCTCTTCCTGCAGCTCCTCAGCTGTGCTCTGTGGGCCACCAGTCATCTACAGGACATGCTGTGGGATGCTCTCTGGAGAGCACAGTGATTCCTGTGGTGCTCTTTCACTTTGTTTCCATTCTTTTAATTGCATAGAAAGAAGTTAAAAATCTGTCAGTACTTTCACAGTAAAGTCTAGCTTCACTGTAACAAACCCCAGGGAGTCAGGAAGAATCGTTCATCCCAATAGGACAGATTTGGCAATTTGTTGCACTGAAATAGTGAGGATACATCCTAAGTCAACTACCCAGTAATATGTTGCACTTTTATGACAGTTGCTTCACATTTCTAAATATTTACATTCTTAAACATTAAAAGAAAAGCAAGCAAAAGAAAGCAATGAAGAAATTAAAAAAAAATTTAAAACATTAAAAAAAAAAGTGTATTTAGAGGCTAAATCCAACATGCTGTGATAAAGACAAGAAAATGTGACTGGTACCTAGACCAGTCTTTTCTAAGCACACACTCCAGTAGTTGATGACTAAGGAGAGCATGTCTGCCTTCTGTTGAAATTACTAAAGAAAGGGACCGGTTGTGAGTCCCTCTAAGTGAATTTAGTCAATATTTGGTTTCCTTCTAAAAAAATAATATAATTGTTAATGAGATGGAATTCATTTTCTGTTAGAAGAACTGATGACTGTGTTTGCCATGACCTGTAAGAGAAACGGGTCCACAGACAATGTTTTTCTTCAGTTTTCATCTTTTTTGGTTCCCTGTTTTAATCTCCATTGCAACAACCTCTTGTCTATATAATGGGGTAAGTTTATGGTCCCCATTTAAAGTCAGCAGAGATAATTTATGCCAGAGGTATTTTCAGTTGCTCATAATTTCAATAGGCTCTTTAACTGATTTATAGAAGAAAAATCAACAAGCATAACTCTTTTTTTAATACTGTTTTGTAATTGTTCCACTTCAATGTAATTTTAGTTAAATCTAATTTCAAGCCATCTCTGCTGAATTATTAAATAATAACATTAAAAAACAACAAACCTGAAAGAAAACCAGATCTTTGCCTGATTGCAGTTAATGAAAGCTAAAACTAGACAATAATAAAGCTTGTAATTATTTGAAACAGAGATAATTTTTTTTATTGAACTAATTGTAGGTATTAAATTCTGAGTATTAATATTGGACATATTCAGACAATCATCTCTTCCATTTACTACATTCTCCTTAACAACATCTAATGTTTGGCCTTAGCAACTTTATATAAATTAATTCTTTTGGATGTATTTTAATATCAACATTTATTATCAAAATAATAATTATTTAAGTAGACATGTCATGGTTCAATTATCTGGCAGATTCCAGTTCAACAAGATAACTTTTACTCCTTTATAATATAATAAATGTAAATATTTACAATTTCCATTTGCTAGATTCAGATTTTTATTATTTTTCTCAACCTTCCACACATGATCCATTGAATTCTTTTGCAGGGAGCTTCATAGCAGTAAGATAGACAGAGAAAATAAAGACAGTTTTCTGCTTCAGTCTGATGTAGCCTTGGTGTCATTGGGCATTCCTCTTTGGGCACAAAAGAGCTGGAGAACCGGCTTAATGCTGAGACACAAAGTTAAGACTTGTGTGGCTCCAGCGTTTGGGGCTGACATTTCTAGAAAGCAAACACTGTAGATCTCCTCCTCCTGCTATCTGGTATGGAAAGCACTGGTGGGAGCAGCCTCCTGGTGTCATGGAAAACAGCCTTAAGATAAACCAACATATACTGCAGTTCTGGTCATGCAACATTTTTAAACTGACTGGTAATTGACAGACCTGTTTCAGAGTTGCCTCAGCTGCTGCCCAGGATCCAATGAAGCTCTCAGCACATTCCTGATCAGAAGGAAGGCTCTGGAATAGCCATAGAAGTTGTTTGCAAATACAAATTTCAGTACAATGACTCAAACTATGCTTCTGTTGCTTACCTACCGATAGTGCTAATAGTATCCAGAGAGTAAAAATACTTTGAATTTGTTATGCTTTTAAATTGCAGGTGTTCCCTGACAGATGAAATGATGTAGTAAACATTTTTTTTCAAAATATAGCATTTTCTTTTCTTATTTAGTTTGCATACTAAGACATCATTTTTCTGTGGCTTTGAAAGCAAGTAGAGACAGAAGCTTGTCAGATGTATAATACATATGCTTCTCTAGCTAAAACATCTGTTATGTAACTTGTCCTAGGTCAGTCTGCTTAATCATGACCATTTTTTATGCATCACTGTACTCTGCAATTGTCAAAGAAATTTTATAAAGGTTGAGGTAAAAAATTATGTCCAGTCATTATTTCCTAATAAATTTCTTCTGTGCAGTTAAAAAAGCCAAAGAATGAGGAACGATAACTTCTGGTGGTTTAACATGTAAAAAGAAATGTTTGTCTTTGGTGTATCTTAAAGCTTAGAAGTAATTATTTCTACTATTGATGCAGTGAATGTAAAATAACCTTATTTCACTAATAACCATGCTTTAATTTTAATTATTTAATGTCCCTTTAAAAATGTTCTTTTCTAAGAAGCAACTAAATAAGTTTCCATAGTATTAATTACTTTTTCTTGAAAATTACTAATTCTGGTTCTCCTTAAAAAAAGAAAAAATGGTAAAAATGACAATTTGTTTCCAAGGAGATTGATGATGCAGACGTGCATAACACTGATCACTTATATTCAACTGATGTTCAACAAGAAATCCATCGGAACAAATGTGAGTACCTGCTATGGGCAGGATGAAGCAATGCCTCAGCACCAGTGACTGAACTCGTCATGAAGACTACAGATCACAATGAGTCCTGATGAAGACTTGTAGACAGCTAAAATAGTACAATTGCTTTTACTGTTCATCCTTCACCCCTTCATCCTTCAGAGTTCTTCTTTTCTAGCAGGCTGAATATTAAGATCTCCTCTTGTAATCATAATTGAAGAGCATTCAGCCACCAACCAAGGAGTGCACATTTTGCTGGAGTCATTGCAGTATAAACAGTTCATATTTCAGAGGGTAGAAATACTGCCTCAAAAATGCAGCTTTGTGAGAATGTGCAGTTAACATTTTTTGGTTTGTATCTTCACAGTTCATCATGCTTGATTTCAAAACATCCAGCTGTATTTGTATGGGAAGGGCCTGTTACTGATTGCCAGGAGACACTTTGAAGATGCTTGTTTAAATTAAATATTTATGTCTGTTTATAACAGATAGGAAGAAAATTAAACAGGATAATGGTTCTTAAATGGACCTAGATATACAATAAATTTAGAAGGGAGAAATAGCTGATGTCCCTTCAGAACTATCTTGTCAACTTGTTGGTCTCTCGTTGTGTATATGAACTACAACAGCCAGAAACAAAATCCAAAATTTATTAACAATCTCTGTTCAAGGATATTTCTCTCTTCCAAACATATATTTAGGGCAAGGATTGTTGGAGATGCTTCATATGCTGAGATACCAGGCATAACTAGAAGCAAAATTGTATTGTATTAGTCTTGGACTTTTTTTTGTTTGTTTATTTATTGAGGGAGTAATACATTTTAAACAGTTGGGTCTTTCACTGTGTCTGGGGAATATTATTTATTTTAGGGTGAAAACCTCTTCTGAAGCAGCAA